GAACGACGGGCACCCCGCCATCGGCCACAGGCTCGGACTGGCCAGGGCAGACAGGCAGAAAAATCTGCCGGGGCCTTTGGATTTGTGACCAGTAACGTCACGAAGTTGGTCAAAAAGTGATTGAATCTCCGAAAGTGGCCGTTTTCGCTGAATTTGAGCGGCCACTGCTTCGATCTAGTTGCAGCCAACGGCCTCCCTCGACGTCCTAGTATTCTTAAGACCCTACTCTTTCGTGCCCTGTATCGGGAAGACGTTGACCACAACGATTTTGCCTTTGACCGCAACGATTTTGGGACCAAAGTTGGTCAAAAAGTGGTCGAATCTCGGAAATTTGCTGATTTTGCTGACTTTGGGGGGCCACTGTGTCCAATCTAGTAGCCGTAAAAGGCCTCCCTCGACGTCCTAGTATTCTTAAGACCCTACTCTTTCATGCTCTGTATCGGGAAGACGTTGACCACAACGATTTTGCCTTTGACCGCAACGATTTTGGGACCAAAGTTGGTCAAAAAGTGGTCGAATCTCGGAAATTTGCTGATTTTGCTGACTTTGGGGGGCCACTGTGTCCAATCTAGTAGCCGTAAAAGGCCTCCCTCGACGTCCTAGTATTCTTAAGACCCTACTCTTTCATGCCCTGTATCGGGAAGACGTTGACCACAACGATTTTGCCTTTGACCGCAACGATTTTGGGACCAAAGTTGGTCAAAAAGTGGTCGAATCTCGGAAATTTGCTGATTTTGCTGACTTTGGGGGGCCACTGTGTCCAATCTAGTTGCCGTAAAAGGCCTCCCTCGACGCCCTAGTATTCTTAAGACCCTACTCTTTCATGCCCTGTATCGGGAAGACGTTGACCACAACGATTTTGCCTTTGACCGCAACGATTTTGGGACCAAAGTTGGTCAAAAAGTGGTCGAATCTCGGAAATTTGCTGATTTTGCTGACTTTGGGGGGCCACTGTGTCCAATCTAGTTGCCGTAAAAGGCCTCCCTCGACGCCCTAGTATTCTTAAGACCCTACTCTTTCATGCCCTGTATCGGGAAGACGTTGACCACAACGATTTTGCCTTTGACCGCAACGATTTTGGGACCAAAGTTGGTCAAAAAGTGGTCGAATCTCGGAAATTTGCCGATTTTGCTGACTTTGGGGGGCCACTGTGTTCAATCTAGTTGCCGTAAAAGGCCTCCCTCGACGCCCTAGTATTCTTAAGACCCTACTCTTTCATGCCCTGTATCGGGAAGACGTTGACCACAACGATTTTGCCTTTGACCGCAACGATTTTGGGACCAAAGTTGGTCAAAAAGTGGTCGAATCTCGGAAATTTGCCGATTTTGCTGACTTTGGGGGGCCACTGTGTCCAATCTAGTAGCCGTAAAAGGCCTCCCTCGACGTCCTAGTATTCTTAAGACCCTACTCTTTCATGCCCTGTATCGGGAAGACGTTGACCACAACGATTTTGCCTAGGCTATTGACCGCAACTTGTGTGGGAGCGGTAGACTCACAAAGTTGGTCATGAAGGGTAAAAACTATGATGATCGGGGGCCTTTTGCCGTCTTATCTGCCGGGGCCTTTTGGGGGCCAGTCCGAGCCTGATCGGCCACGTGCTTTATGGGGGATCCCGTATCCACCGGGTTCCTGCCGGGTAGCACCGGGCACTCGTCGACCTGTCCCGTTACCCACGGCTTCTTGCTGACGGCGAAGGCGCCTGCACTGCAGCCAGCGTAGCCAGCCTGCAGTCTGAGGCGGCAGCGCCCGGAGCGAGCAGCACTTCGAGGCGGCGGGCCAACCCCACCGCACCGCACCCCGCCGCAGCCCGCCCCGCCCCGCCCCGCCCCGCTCCGCCCCGCCGCAGCCCGCCCCGCCCCGCCCCGCCCCGCCCCGCCCCGCCCCGCCCCGCCCCGCCCCGCCCGGCTCGCCTAGAGTCCTACAGGACTGCAGGACTCTACTCTCGCCTGGCTCAGCGTCCGTCAGCAGACTCATACCGAAAGTCGTTTTCGTCGCTCTGTCTCTCTCGCACTCATGGGGCGTCCCTCATAGGTGCGGAAGAGGCAGAGCGACGAAAACGACTCTCGGAATCAGTCTGCAGGATCCACGCGGCCGTCCGGTCTCGGCCGTCTCGATCGTCCCGGTGAAAGGGACGAAGGGCTCGAAAGCAGTGACTGCGTTTCCCAGTGCCGGCGCGGCGCCGAGGCACGCCGAGGAGGCCGACGTCGCGGATGAAAAAAAGGCGCGGCTACAGTACTGCAAATCTTTTCAATTTTTAGCCATTTAACTCTTTTTGAAGTTCTACTCCAATCTATTTCAGATACGTAGAAACCTCTGTCATGTTTAGTATTTCCCTTCAGTTCCGAAGAGTGTATGACAAATTTCTGAATGGTATTTTCATTATAAAAGCAAGTATGGTTCTCCAACAATACAATAAAATAGTCACAAAAACAAACCAAACTAGAAAATAAGGAAAAATTGAAATTTTCGACTTGCTGCGCTGCGGTATGGCGACGCGCGCCGCCATTTTGAATGACTGACTCCCAAATTCATGTGCTGCATTCTCGGCAGCAGAAAACGACCTTCAGCACCGGTTTGATTTCATCCTAGAAAAGTTTTTGTTGTTATCTTTTTTAATTTTTTGGCAGAGTCCTGCGTGCCGAAGCTGTGTAGAATAGCCAGACCGCGCCGTTCACTTCACGCTGCTTCACGCAAGCATGCTCGCGCCGGCCGGCTCCCCCGCCCCCCCCCGCCCCGCCCCGCCCCGCCCCGCGTCGCGACGCCCCGACGCATCCCGCGATGCACCGTGTCTCGCTATTCCCAGACCGCGACGCGATCCCCGCCCGGCAGCGCCGCCGGCAGTCAATATTTCCTTTCCAACAACTGCAAACAATAGATTTAAATCTACGTTACCAAATGCGTAAATCACGGGAAAAATCCTTTGTTGCAGAGATTAACTTCGTCCGATAAGCTAAATTCGCTAGCTGCAATCGAATAGTCGATACCTACAACCAAAAGCTGGTTGCTGTGACCAACTTGTAAGAAAACAATAATTACGCTGGGGTTTGATATTCTCTGACAAGTGTCACAACCAGCTTTTGGCTTGGTTATCGAGTATTCGATTGCAGGTATCGAATTTAGCCTATCGAAAAATTGATCACCACAACAAAGGAATTTTTTCCGTGTGGACCAGTGAAAGTGCGGAAAGACAAATAGTTTTTCCAACATTCGATCACAACCAAATCGTCTCCACACTGGCAACAGAAAGCAAAAACACAATGCCTCGTCGCGAAAATTCAAAAAATGTGATTCATCCCGGAGCCGATAAATAATTAGTTCTATCATTGGTTCCATTATTGCCATGGGTCGTGATAATTTATTTTTTTATTTTTTTGTAAGTGCTCGTCGTAAAAAGAAACTGCGCGCGGCCATGGCAGGACCTGCCCGAGCCGAGCCGAGAGTCGAGATTAGACAGAATGACGAAAATTGCCAAGGTGGAATGTGGTCAGCGTGCAGGGCCGGGCCGGCTGGCTAGACCAACAGCTTCTGTCTCTCTCGCACTCACGGGGCGTGTGTGGGCTCGCCGCAGGGGTGCGAGAGAGACAGAGCGATGGGCTCGCGGTGTGCCATACATTCGGCCCGTCCCATCCAATCACCCTCGGCGCGGAAAAATCGCGTGTACCGTGCCGCGGCAATGGCTTTCCGAGGAAAAGTACTTGGACGACTTTTGTTCGGCAGCGCGTTTTTACGGGCCGCGACGTGCAAACATGCAAGCTATGCAGATCCCAGCCAACGCCCAAGCCCTCGCCTTCTTTACAACATGAAAAGTGAAAAGATTTGGATTTGTTTGCCTCGTTGTAAGTTTGTCCGAGTCTCTCTGCCTCTGCCCTGGTCCTTCCCTGCCGCCCTTTCTCCAACCACACTGTACGTGCCGGCATGGCGGGGCGGGCGGGGCGGGGCGTGCCTTTCTACTTTATCACGCACTTCCACGAACGGCGCGGCAAGTGCATGCATTACCTGCCTGGAGCTGGCCGCAGTCTGATGCGCTCATTCAGAACAGTCACTCCGTCTCTCTCGCACCCATGGGGCCTTACGGCGTGCAGTGGGAGTGCGAGAGAGACAGGGCGACGAAGCGCTCATTCTCCGCACTGGGGCTCTAATTCAAATGCCGCGCTTGCCTTGCTTTGCTTATTATGACACGGAGGCAACTCGTGTCTGCATTACAATATTTTACAAATATTTCTCTTCCTTAACGTTGCGATTACGTGTCCGGATGCCGAGGTGGACAATGAGGGCGAATTTACTAATTTACCCATTTAAAAACTAGCCAAGTAAGTCCGTTGTTCTTTACCTCTGCACTTCAGTTTGGCAGGGCAAAATGAAAGAGTCATGAAAGTCAAACTGACTGAAATTAAGCTAACTCAGGTTAACTCAAACGACAAAATTTTCTGGCTCGCCAATCATTTCAAACAAAATTCAAACTCATGGAAGTTCGTCATCGTGGCCAATAATTTAAAGTCTCAAAATTCGTCAAAATTTGGAGTTATAAAACAGAACCAATGTCGCCAGTGCCCAGTGCCAGAACCACATTTCTCCAACATCGGAACATTGAAAACAGGAGCAAATTGGCGAGTCGGGTCCTGGCCCTAGGCTAGTCAGTCCTAGCCCCAGTCCAGTCAGACCTGGCCCTAGCCTAGTCAGTCCTGGCCCCACTGTGAAACCAAACGTGGAGAACTCCACATTTGAAATACGGAGGAGTGGAGTTTTCGGTCTCCACACTTGGAAGTGCAGAGTTGGCCGTCTCCACACTTCAAACGTGGAGTTGTCCACGTTTGCACCATGCTAAGAGATAGGGGCCATGTGAGCTACTGCACACTTGAAGTGTGGAGACTGCAAACTCTGCACTTCCCTGTGTGGAGACCTACTCCACTCCAGGAAGCGTGGAGTTGTCCACGTTTGGTTTCACAGTGCTAAGTCCGGTCAGTCCCGGCCCCGGTCCATCAGTGCCGGCCCTACTGTACCTTGGAGCCGATCTGGTTGCCGCATTGGCCGGCCTGGAGGTGCACGATCTCCCTCATGGCGTATCCTTGCGTATCCTTGTGGGTCTTGCGGTGTGTCCTGGGTATCCTCGCTATCCTCGCCGTGCTGGCGCGGTGCGTGCGGCGCGTCGCGGCGAGCTGCTCGTTCGGCCCGAGAGACTAGCACTGCGCCGAGGGAGATAGGCCCTGCAGTCCCGTAGGCCGCAGGGGCGGGGCGGGGTGGGGCGCGGCGGGGCGCGGCGGGGCGTACCCCCACCGCGCGGAGGGGCATGCCCACTCCACTGCAGCGGCGCGCTCGGCCGCCACCAGGCCGTGGGACTTAGGAACGAAGGGCCGATGCAACCCCTTATGCCACTACTAATCGCTCGCGTTCGTCGTCATCGGTGTAGTGGTCAGTGGATCGGACCGTCTCTACTCCCTCCGCAAGAGATTTTCGATGCTGAGACTTGCTAAACACTCCCAGACGGATACAGTGCACAGTGGGCCAGAAGACCAGTGGAGGCGGTCAAGATCCCCGAAAGGTTATAAGCTCCAGAGTCACTGAATGGGACTCGAACTGAACGTGTGACCCCACCAATGGACTGCTCTTCGAACGAGGAATCCATTGGTGGGGTCACACGTTCGGTTCCAGTCCCATTTAGCGACTCGGGAGCTCAAAACGCGTCTAAAGTTTTGGCCGCCTCCACCGGTCTTCTGGCTCACTGTGCAGGGCTTTCCCTGGGAGTGCGGGAGAGACGGAGCGCACTCTCGGCCCGCGCTCTCCGTGCCGCTGAACCCATTTTACGAACATCAACGGCTAGACGACGATGCGGGTTGGGTCGTGTATAACCGCCTCATACAGTGTACAGTCCGAGCATGTTGCAGCCGCGGGCGTGGACGCTCATTTGTGCCTGCAGAGTCGCCCTGTCTCTCTCGCACCTAGGGGACGCCGCATGAGTGCGAGAGAGACAGCGCGACGAAAACGACTCTCAGTCTGCTGCATGTGTCTCATCGTCCCAACGAGAAGACGGCACGAATGAGTCGTGGGCGTGGCGGGAGGGAAAATGAGGGGGGGGGGAGAAGGGGGAAGTCCAAACTCTCGCAGCATCGCCAGTAAGCAAAGCCAACACTTTGCTTATTTACTCTGCAGCTGGACTCCGAACGGTCGCTCTGTCTCTCTCGCACTCGTGGGGCGTGGCGTAGGGGTGCGAGAGAGACAGAGCGTCGAGGGCGCTGTGCGAGTGTGGTGCTGCGCTGCGTCCAGCCGGCCCGTGGGGCGGCCAGGGCGGCCACGGCCCGACGGGGTGGTTGAGGAAAGGGGCAAAGCCGGCGAAGCCCAAAGTGGCTGCTAAAGACTCGAGACAGCAGCCGCGCGGTGAACCCGGTAAAGCTACCGCAGACCGATTTGGTCCGCGCCGAGCCGTGCCGAGCCGAGCCGAGCCGGGCCGAGCCGGGCCGAGCCGAGCCGAGCCGAGCCGAGCCGGGTTGCCGGCTAATCCTAAAGCAACTCCCGCGTGCCCCCCGACGGGCCCTCCGAGCCCCCCGACAGCACCGTCAAAATAAAGTGAGCGCTCTACACAAACCGTTCGCGCGCGTGGCTGCAGACGGTGTCGCTGTCTCGCTCGCACCCATGCGGGCCGCCGCACGAGTGCGAGAGAGACAATCAACCTGCCGGCGGAGCACGGGCCGGAGGGGCGTTCCACTGCGTTCCACCGAGTGGTTCCTCGGATAATGTGGTTCCACTTCCCTGATTCATTGGCCCAGAAAAGAGAAGTATTGGGAGCGCGGAACCTCGCGGCCTACAGCACCGCACAGTGGGCCAGAAGACCGGTAAAGGCGGCCAAAACTCTAGACGCGTTTTGATGGTTTTGAGCTGTAGAGTCGCTAAATGGGACTCGAACCGAACGTGTGACCCCACCAATGGATTCCTCGTTCGGAGAGCAGTCCATTGGTGGGGTCACACGTCCGCTTCGAGTCCTGTTCAGCGACTCTGGAGGTCAAAGCCCGTCCGGGATTTCGACCACCTCCTCCGGTCTTCTGGCCCACTGTGCACGGCACCGCACCGCACGCATAGTGTCATTGGCGGAGCGGAAAGCGAGCAAAGCACTCGCCAGGGACCCGTCCGTAACGTCTGAACGCGAAAAACAAAACAACAGCCAGCTGCAGGCTGCAGCTTCGGGGTTCGGACGTTCAAACCCCGTAGGCCGTGCCGTAGGCCGTGCCGTAGGCCGGGCGGGTTTGCTGTTCTTTCGCGAGTCTCTAGGCGGAAGCGGCCAGCCATCGCAATCGCCTGCGGGGTAGGCACTCCCGTCGAACTTGGGTGCGTTGGTGTTGGCTACCTGCCCGGCGTCCGAGTCTCGGCGGTGCGGCTCACAGTGGATTTGCCAGAAGACCGGCGGGGGCGGTCAAAATCCCCGAAGCGTTTTGAGCTCCAGAGTCGCTAAATGGGACTCGAAACGAACGTTCAGCGACTCTGGAGCTCAAAATGCGTCTAGAGTTTTGGCTGCCGGTGCCGGTTTTCTTGGGTCTTCTGGCAAATCCACTGTGCGACGCCCGGCGACGCCGAAACACTGAGGCCGGGGCGTGTTTCGCACACTGCTTCGGCCTGGAACGCGGATGCGGACAATGGCGGCAAACACGGGCAGGAAGCGTCGATCGAGTGGTCGAGTCGAGGCAGAAATCGAGACATCGACTCGGACTGTGACTTTTCTTGCGGCGTTTGACGTTTATTTGACGTCCATCAAACTGCTCCTTCACCTCACAGTGGTTCAGAAGACCGGTGGACGTGGCCAAAACTCTAGACGCGGTCCGAACTTGTGACCCCCACCAATGGGTTGCTCTTCTAACGAGGAATGCATCCGTGGGGTCACACGTTCGGTTCGAGTCCTGTTTAGCGACTCTGGCGCTCAAAACGCCTCTGGAGTTTTGGCCACCTCCACCGGTCAGGACCTCTCTGATGGTCAAAGTTTGATGACAGAGCAACGCAGCGTGCTGCGTCGCGTTTGATGGCTGCGCGTCGCCGAGCCGGGCCGGGCAGGGCAACGCGGTGTCTAAGTTTGTAGCCTCAGGTGCAGCCGGGAAAAGGGAAGGGCCGCGGCTCGGACGACAGGGACTTGAAGGAGCCGGGCGTGTCTCTGCGCGATCCCTGTCGCCCCCCGGCAGCTCCCCGGGTACCGCCACGACGCCACCGCCACTTCTCCACTTCTCGGACGCGGCCCCGCGGCGCCATGGAGACTCCACGCTTAAATTTAGATTGCCCCGCCCCTCCCCTCTCCCCTCCGTGCCGCACATACGCGCACACACACGCACGCACGCACAAGGCTGCGCTTCAGCCAGTGAGGCGTTGGGCAAATCCGGCCAGACACGGGCTTCGTCGCTCTGTCTGCCCTGTCTCCCCTGTCTCTCTCGCACCTCTACGGAACGCCTCGTGCGCGCGAGAGAGACAGAGCGACATGCGGCGGCATCGGTCGAGAGCTCTCGGATTGTTGCTGAAGTTGCAAATTTGTTGCAGCCGGTATCTGTGGTCCGCTCCGATCGCTCAACTTTTTCGTGTTTGGGTGTTTGGTTTTTCGTGGACTCACGCAAACCTACTGGCTGACGGGGAAGCACTCTGTATTTCAACATTTGGCGCCACACAAGAACTCCGAAGATGTTCAAGCAAACAAACCCTAAACTAATGGCCTAGGCATTAAAAAAAAAACAAGCCACAAAAAAGAAATTTCTAGCTTGAACACACACAAAAAACATTGACGGTCACGAAAAGAAATACATTTTCTTAAGTAAATATCTGAACAAAATGAAAGGAAAAGAAAACTTACAACGAAAGTCACAAAAAAAACATGTTGCAGTGGTATCATCCTCCTCGGTTTGAGAGCCAGATCTCAACCAATACATCTACATGTTTGACAAAGCGTGCGACCGTGGTCGCTTTGACATATTCTACACCGTTCGTTAAAAAAATAATGTCGTTTTACGTTAGCTACGGGTCAGTGGCACCAGCAGAGACCCGTGGGCGACAGCGCGGTTTCTGTCGCGGAGGGTCGAAGCGTCTCGCGGGACAAGTCATTCAGCGCAGACTTGGACGCGCAATCTGCGAAGCGAGGCCCTCTCTGGTTCCCTAGTCAGCGGATCCTGGAGGATCATGGTGGTCATGGCGGCCGTGGGGATCAGGCCGTGCCTGGGCCGGCCTCACTGCAGCGCGCAGCTGGCCTTGTCCAGGGTGCTGCCGTCCACCAGGTCCAGCCTGCCGCTCCCAGCTCCGCCGCCCCCACCGCCGCCCCGCCTCCGCTTCGCCTTCCTCTTGGCGCGCTCGGCCGGCGCCGAGGTGTCGCCGCCGACGCGGTGGTCCCTCGCCGTCTTGGCCGTCTTGGGAGCGCCGCCGCCCGCCGCCCTCTGCTCCGTCAGGATGCTGCGGCGCGACCGCGGCTTGGCGGCGGGCCTCTTGTCCTCGCTCGGCACCGACGTGGACGACGCCCTGTCCAGCCTGTCCAGGGCGGGCTGCGGTTGCCGTTCGAACGCCGTCGTGCTGGGCGTGGCGCCCAGGCTGAGTGACCGCCACGTCCGGGGCCTCGACGAGGGCCTCGACGAGGGCCTGCGGATGCGCGGCGACGCGCTGGCCGTGGAGGTCTTGGCGGTGCAGGCCTCTTCTGCGAGGGTCACTTGCGTGAGGTTCACTTCTGTGGGGGTCACTTCCGTGAGGTTCACTTCTGTGGGGGTCACTTCCGTGAGGTTCACTTCCGCGAGGTTTACGTCCGTGAGGTTTACTTCCGTGGGGGTCACTTCCGAGGGGGTCTCTTCCGTGGGGGTCACTTCCGTGGGGGCCTCTTCCGTGGGGGTCACTTTCGTGAGGGCCACTTCCGTCACGTTCACTTCCGTGGGGGTCGTGAAGGACGTGCATGTGTGATTCTCATTCAATGGGGATGTGACTGGAATCGTCACTTCCGTGGGGGTGGCGCTAGTGGATGTCACCTTGGAAGTGGTGCTGCTGGTGGGGGTAACTTCCGAGTCACTCGCAGGCAGGGGGGCGGCTTCGGATGTGGCCGATGCGCTTGGCGGCGGCTGCGTCTCGAAGCCAGGCGCCGGGGACTCCGAACCGACCGCCACTTCTGGTTCGAGGGCCGTCGGGGAGGGTTGCGGTGGCGGGGAGGGCGTTGCGACGGGGGTGGCGGCTTGCAC